ATCATTGTTAAGTATGGTTCCCAGCTGCATCATTGTTAAGCATGGTTCCCAGCTGCATCATTGTTAAGTATGGTTCCCAGCTGCATCATTGTTAAGTATGATTCCCAGCTGCATCATTGTTAAGTATGGTTCCCAGCTGCATCATTGTTAAGTATGGTTCCCAGCTGCATCATTGTTAAGTATGATTCCCAGCTGCATCATTGTTAAGTATGATTCCCAGCTGCATCATTGTTAAGTATGGTTCAGAGCTGCATTATTGTTAAGTATGGTTCCCAGCTGCATCATTGTTAAGTATGGTTCCCAGCTGCATTATTGTTAAGTATGGTTCCCAGCTGCATCATTGTTAAGTATGATTCCCAGCTGCATCATTGTTAAGTATGGTTCCCAGCTGAATCATTGTTAAGTATGGTTCCCAGCTGCATCATTGTTAAGTATGGTTCCCAGCTGCATCATTGTTAAGTATGGTTCCCAGCTGCATCATTGTTAAGTATGATTCCAGCTGCATCATTGTTAAGTATGGTTCCCAGCTGCATCAATGTTAAGTATGGTTCCCAGCTGCATCATTGTTAAGTATGGTTCCCAGCTGCATCATTGTTAAGTATGATTCCCAGCTGCATCATTGTTAAGTATGGTTCCCAGCTGCATCATTGTTAAGTATGGTTCCCAGCTGCATCATTGTTAAGTATGGTTCCCAGCTGCATCATTGTTAAGTATGGTTCCCAGCTGCATCATTGTTAAGTATGATTCCCAGCTGCATCATTGTTAAATATGGTTCCCAGCTGCATCATTGTTAAGTATGGTTCCCAGCTGCATCATTGTTAAGTATGGTTCCCAGCTGCATCATTGTTAAGTATGGTTCCAGCTGCATTAATTGTTAAGTATGGTTCCCAGCTGCATCATTGTTAAGTATGGTTCCCAGCTGCATCATTGTTAAGTATGGTTCCCAGCTGCATTATTGTTAAGTATGGTTCCCAGCTGCATCATTGTTAAGTATGGTTCTCAGCTGCATCATTGTTAAGTATGGTTCCCAGCTGCATCATTGTTAAGTATGATTCCCAGCTGCATCATTGTTAAGTATGGTTCCCAGCTGCATCATTGTTAAGTATGGTTCCCAGCTGCATCATTGTTAAGTAAGGTTTCAGCTGCAGCATTGTTCAGTAAAGTTCCCAGCTGCAGCATGGATAGATGTCAGACAACTACTGAAGTACATTACAAAACCTGTGCTTGGCTACTATAATGTGTATCTTAGACCTACCAGCTAGAACTAGTATTTCTCCCTCTAGGACATACTAACTTGAACTAGTATGTCTCTCTCAAATCTACTAGCTAGAACTAGTACCTTTCTCTCAGACATACTAACTAAAACTAGCATTTCTTTCTCTCAAATCTACTAGCTAGAAACAGTATCTTTCTCTCTCAGACATACTAACTAGAACTAACATCTCTCTCACACCTACTAGCTAGAACTAGTATGCATCTCTCTCAGACACTCATGATGGCTCTTCCCCATCTCAGTCTTGACATCAATCTCTCACGTACCGACACACACACTCCTGTGTTACACATTGACTTCAGACTTCGATATGTTCAATACCTTTTTTATTTTTTTTTCGGCATGACGCAACCTTTAAGTTCTGCGATGAAGGTCATCTGCCCATGCAGCGCCCTCTTGCGCCTTCTCGTCCAAACTGCGCCCTAATAAGATAACTTATAAGAAGAGGCTGCGAGATTATCTCTGCATTTACGCGGGAGGTGAGTGTACACAGTTTGAATACACTGTGTAAACAGCCTCTCTTCCTCTCTCTCTCTCTCTCTCTCTCTCTCTCTCTCTCTCTCTCTCTCTCTCTCTCTCTCTCTCTGAATTAATTTTTTTCTATGTCACGAAATAATTTTCTAATTTCTTCCTTCCTTATTCCTCTCCATAACATTGGTACCATATATTAATGATCTCAGGCAAGACATCTTTCCTGCCTCCAGCCTCCTCCTTGATGTGAAAGATCTTGTTTCACTTCATTCAGTTGTCATCCTTGTGAGCACCTTTGTAATACATTCTGTTGTCATCCTTGTGAGCACCTTTGTAATACATTCTGTTGTCATCCTTGTGAGCACCTTTGTAATACATTCTGTTGTCATCCTTATCAATGATAACTGAAGACTACTATCATTTAAGGCTTCAATATAGAAGTTGCTGCAGATCATGACATAGATTGTTTCTAGATTATATGACAGATTAATTGATAGTTTTTTATATATAAATTAATACAATTATTTATAAATTACGGCATTTTATTTATTACTTAAATATTTACTAAAACAAGACACAACTTGAACAATGATGAAAACTGTTCCCTTGAATACTTCTTGTTGTTTCGTTGTGTTGCTTTGTTGTTGTCTGTTGTTGTTTGTTGCTTTGTAAGTTTTTGTTGTATGTTGTAGACTTTGTTTTGTTTGTTTTGTAGTTGTTGGTTTGTTGTTGTTCGTGTTGTTTGTTGTTGTTGTTGTTGTTGTTGTTTGTTGTTTTGTTGTTGATGTTGTATACATTTGTTGTCTCCTTGTGCAATTTGTATCTTGTTGTTGTTATCTTGT